GATAGGAAATGCTTGAAGCAGATAGGAAATGCTTGAAGCCATCTTTCTCTAGTTGTGGATTTCATTCATTTTACACTACATATTGAAAATGGAAAAGGATTTAAAATGAGAATGGTAGCCAAAAAAATCTGGAATTTAATCACAGATTTATAGTGCTCAGACCACATGTCCAAAATTAACAAAGTACAATATTTATCAGCTTTAATACCACCAACTCACATTAGAAGGAAATGTTTCTTATAAATTCCTTACTGGTTTTTTTTTAGTTCACTATACGGAATGAATTCTTTCAGAATTAAATCCAAAAGGTATAGTATATCTACTTGCACATGTGGAACATTTAAAGAAAAAATGCAAACTCACATATCTACATCAGAACCATTATCCTGCTTGATTTTTTAAAAATTTATAGAATAATTTATGAAGATTACACATGATTAGGAATGAAGTCTCAGTGCACTTCCCGTATCCAGAGACGTTCAAACTAATTGAAGGCAGATTCTGCCCAAAAGAACTACAGAAAAAAAGGAACAACTAATTGGGATCAAACATAACTATGACAAAGAAGCATTGTTAAAGAATAAATTATTAAAGGATATAACTGAACCATAATATTCAAATGCACAACACTTTAGAAATGTTTCATTTGGAGAAGTGAAAATGGGTAATATCGCCAATGCATGGATGACAAAACTGACAATCCTTTATGTGTCACTACAGACAAAGAGCCAAAATTGGAATAAAAAAAATAAGGTGAGAGTAATATTACACAATACAAATGGAAGGAAAGTTGACACCAGTACATACTGCAGCATGTGGTTTATATTAGTCCCAGATGATATCACACAACCTAATCTCTATCAAAGGATCTTTCTATTTTTATTGATGATTCAACTCACCAAACTCTGATAGCCAATTGTTCAACGAATATGGAATCATTTTCATTTCAGGTATGCTATATATTTCTTTTTATTCTCAAAATGATTTGCAAGCTGGTAAAGAGTTTTGCCATTCACAAAATAAAGCATTTCAGATCTACTCTGATTAATCTTTCCTGCTTCATACAAGATGGTAAAATTCTTTTTAATAAATGTTTCCTGTAACGTCTCTAAAGGGAGAGCAAATGGTAGATTTGGGGATGTAAAAATGCCATAAAAATTCTGTGGGATACTTTTTCTGTTTATTTTTTCTTTCTGCCTTCCTTTCTTCATTGCTTGTCTTCATATTCATTTGTTTATTATTTGCAGGCCAATCCAGTTACCTGATTCTGAGAAGTGTGCAACTCTCCAATGAATACTTAGGACTAAGCATAATACAAACAAAATGTAAAAACAAATTGCATGGTATTGTAATATAAATTTTAACAGAATAAGTTAAGATGTTCCTTTCATAAACCACAGCTAAATCAATTTAAACAACTCTGCTTTCCTCTTTCTACAATGCTGGAATTTCATAGCACAATCTCATTACAAAGAAGTCTCATGTAAAGTGATCTTGAACATGATTCTGTCGACATGTCATAGCAAGAAAAAAGTAATATTTTCTGCATTCATTCCAAAAGGGCAATTTTAAAAAACAGAAGCAACCAAGTAGTCTCCATGACTACTTTTTGCTACAAGATATATTTCACTTCAAATAGTGGAACCAAATAAGTCTTTAAAAATTATATGTGCTACAGTACTAGATTTATTTAAGAATTCATTGTGGAGGCCTCCATGCTATTAGGAGGTTAGTTGTTTTCTTGCAAAACTTTCATTGTCCAATTAAGTAACACCATCCATTCTAGAAGAGAAGGGAGCTTGCTCTCTGTTTATATACTGGTGGCTTGTCCTGCCAGTGTTGATGGGAGTGGTCTTGGTAGTTCCTTGATTAGACTGTTGTTTATTTTTTGATTGTTTGTCTGAGTTGATAGTTCCTTGATTGGGTTATTGCTTGATTGTTGGTCTAGTGTTAAACTTGATATTAATTTCTGTTCAATCTGGGTGTTGATGGTTAGTGAGCAGATGTTCTGATCTTTTTTAGGTTTTTTTTAATTGTTTCTATTCATTATGTCAATCAGTAAACTGGTGTGGGAAGTTATCATCCAGCCCTCTCACAGAAAAATGAAATATCCTAGGAATTATTGAAAAGGCAGAATATTTCTCTGGATGTGAAAAGAAAGAAACATCTTTTAAAAGACAGAATAGTTGCCTGTAGCTTTCTGCCCATCCCCAGTTAATGGGCCATTAAGACTAGCCAGGCTAGCCCACTTTACATAATAAAGACTTCACCAGCAGCTACAGAAAGGCATGATAATATACTCAACTGACCACAAGGCATCTGAGAACTCATCACAACCTAGAGAGTAGCCCCCTGCATGGCACCATGGGAGTCTGACAACCAATCAGAATACATTTCTTACACAGGAACAGGAAACAGAGAGGTGGGACTAAACAGGGTATAAAAAGCCTAGCAAGCCCCTTCCTCAGCCCTTCTCTTCTTCTCCATCAACATTGAAACATGTGATCACCTTTTCTGTTCAGGGTTCAAGCCATGTGGCCCTGTCCAACAATAAACCATCTTTCCAAGCAGCCTCCATGTCTCCAGTGTCTTCTTCCCTACTTGGAGCTGAACCCAGAAGGACATTTCTTTCAACAATGGTAATCAGTTAACTGGCAAACAAACCAGTTAATTGGCAATCAAAGAGTGCTGCAGCTTTCTCTTCCAAAACCCAATCATTGTCTTTTTTTGCAAGTTGCTTCTTGACTTGTGTGTGTTTTGCTAACTCCAACATTTCTTTCTCTTAGAGACAGCCTGCAAACACAAGGCGAACCCTATATTTTCCATCAGAGCCAAAACCAATCGTGCAAGATGAAACCAGAAAATTGCCTGCTCCTATTTTTCCATTCTTGTCATTTCACCTGGACATTTGGGGATCTGGAAGATTGTGTTTGCTGTTAATGTCTTTGATTTCTGTACCTACCCCCAAAACTTTGATGTAACCTAGTTTTTCAGGGAAGTTAGCAATGTTCCACAATGGATTGCCCTTAGCGACATATGCCCCTTTTCCATTTAAATTGTAAAGAACTTAAATAGTTATTTCTTAAATCCAGGCTTTTTCCTCCCAAAGAGTATTATAACACCTTAAGTTGTTGACCATGAAAAGAGCTTTGTTCTACTGTTTGCTATCAATCAGAACTTACATTTATCAGGTTTTCTTTATCAGTGATCTCAGGTTGGACAGATGGGGTATAATGAGATCTCCTTGCTGACAGCATTATAAATATTTTTTCCACCTTGAAAGGTCCTGTGATGAATGGCAATAGTATGATCTTTTGCTACAAATCTCAATTGTCAGAAAAAGGACAGGGCTGCTGACAGAGGTTAGTCAGGCTTTCATCAGAATGAGGCACAATTATCCAACTACTGATCAGATGGCTGTGACCAACAACCATAAACAAACATTTTTCTCTATAAGGTGGAAAAATCTATTGCATTGAGTCTCTTATTCACAAAATTATTACAATTTTCCTCTTTATGTTAACAGAATTCCAATTAATATACAGTATAACCCTCAGAATTAAATGATTCCTTGTAAACCATATATATAGTAATGGTTTAGGTTTATATAGCCTATTAATGTATTTGTTTATTACTTGGGTTGTTTAAAATATTTATATGACCACCCATCTTACACAGTATAAATCTGAGTGGTCCACCACAATCACAAGAGTTTTGGGTATCAGACCTACCAGACTTCACTCAAATGTTTTATGCCTGTATTTGCAGTCATTTTATTCTACTTGCATCATACTTTAACTGAAAGAGTTATAAATTGCATTGCTTCCTAACATTGAAAACAATTGATGGTTGTTTGTTGCAAACATGGAAAAATCTCCTGAAGGACCTATGAATGATTTCCAGTCCCACAGGTGCCTTTGGTGTAATTACTCAGCAAGGAGAGATGGCCAAGAACTGATAACAGGAATGCCATTGTCACGATTTTTTATTCAAAGAGACAAAAGTACTTGTTCTGTGGCAATTTAATATGGTTTACCCCAGGGAATGTCCTCAAAATAAGGCACATTTTTCACACTGGCTTGACATGGCTCTAACAAAGGTTGCCTCTGTACCTGAGATATAACAGGGAAACTTCTTTCACCAAGTGAATTACTAATGGGGGAAAAAATCTACCTGGTTTACCAGGAAATTTTTCTTTAATACTAGATACTCCTCTTCAGATCTTTTGTTGACACAGTACAATCACCAATCGCATTCAAAAATCAGAATTTTAATAAGTCTTGTTTTCTTAGCTGCACATACCTTATTTTTCATGAACTTGGAATGACTCTTGTAAACTTCTATTTGTTTGATCTCTTCTTCTCGATCTTCTGTGTTCAGAACTCCATTTGTCTTCAACATCTGTATTTCATCTTCGAGATCTCTGATATTACGTTCCAGGGAAGCTATTTTTGTGTCCTATTTTTTTGTAAAGAAAGTGTTGGTATGCAATTATTATACAAATTATTTATATGAAAAGCAGACATATAACTGGTGATACAAGAGCAATAAATCTAAAGAACTAAGTTGGCACAAGGAACTGAAGCCCTTTCTCATCTAAATAGCACTGAGATAAGTTCAGTAATAATTATGTAGCTGAATAAAAATATATGCATTATTGTCAAAATCTTCACTTGGCTAAGCCTCTAAACAGCACTCTGAATGTGCTATGAATAGAAAAGTAGGCTGCAATGCAAAATAATAAAAGAACATAAAATAAAATAATGAACCAAAAAATGCCAAGAAATCTGGGTCTAGCTATACTTTTATTGTGCAGTGAGAAAGCTAAAGTTTATAACCTTTTTAAGACATCTGTTTCACTACCACATCTGATATAAAAAGCCACGGTCTCTTCAAATAAGATAAAACAAGAATGGAATAGATCCAAACCAAATGAAAGCCACCATTATACCATACTTATTTCATTACTTTCTAACGTGGAGCCAACTAAGAGATGAATGGAAATATTTTAAAATTCCTTCAACTTGGGTGTGGAGTCTTTCCCTACCCGCCTATACAACACAGAAAAATAAGTATCCTGTTTCCAGCTACTGTGAAATTAAGGATGCTGGTACCCACTGCAACAGGCAGAAAAGCAGAAGATCATCTGTTCTCTTATCTTGGGCAGAACAATTGGTGAATGTGTAACTAATTTATTCAGGCATTGGCCTGAAAATATGAGTGCTCCATTGTTGCAGAAAATCTATATTCTGTCAAGTTTCCATACAGTCAACCAGGAGGACTAAAAGAGTGCTGTATGAATGAGAGTTTAGGTAGTCCTCGACTTGCAACTCTTCATTTAGTGACCATGTGAAGTTACAAAAAGTAACTTATGACAATTTTTCATTGCAGCATCCCCATGGTCACATTATTTACTTTCAGATGCTTGACAACTACACTGTTTTGGCTAGAGAGATTGAATTATCTGACCATAAGTACAAAATGGAGAAAAGCAATGAGAAATAACAGGTAGGATTCAAGATTTCTCAGATAGTGATGTAAAGAAACAAAAGGATAAGAATAAAATGAAAACCAAAACTGCTGACACTATCTGAGATTCATTTGAAGATTTCTTTAAACATAGCAATAGCACTTAGACTTATATCCCGCTTTACACAGCTTTACAGCCCCCTCTAAGTGGTTTACGGAGTCAGCATATTTTCCCTAACAATCTGGGTCCTCATTTTACTGACCTCGGAAGGATGGAAGGCTCAGTCAACCTTGAGCCTGGTGGGATTTGAACTGTCAAATTACAGCAGCTAGCAGTCAGCAGAAGTAGCCTGCAGTACTGCACTCTAACCACTGTGCCACCACGGGTCCTCAACATACTGTTCATACTGTTAATACTGAAACAACTGATAAAAATGTGGTAGTTTCAACTTTTTCTAAAATTTCTATAGCTATATCTTTGTGTCTGTCAGACATTTTTTCAAAGGTTTCCCAGAAGTGGCTGATGTCAGAGGCTCAGTAGGATTAGTTCTAGATAATATTAGGATATTGGATCATATGGGAATTCCAGATGAAATTGAATACAAAATCCATTCAACTTTATTTCACTGGACTGCCATTTCCTAGAATGGGAGTAGATTAAAGCTATTTTGGAAAAAAAATATTTTCATTAGTTCTCTACCCTTCATTTAAAAAAAAAAGGAAATGCTTTTCCAAACAGTCATTCTATGGGCCTACGGGCTTCAAAGCTTTCTTAGAATCCAAACTGATATGCTACAACATATAACTGTATCTCCTCTTTGTAGCAACCTGCAAGTCCTGTATCTTCTAGAGAGTCTTTCTGGAGGACAGTAGATGTTAGGATGCCAACCAGGAATAGGAAATTACACTAACTTTTCTTATGCTAACTGGGCACTGAAAGTACAGTAAATAATGTGTCTGCATTTAAATCCAGTCCAAATTGCTTAGAAGCCTCTACATTTTAAGGGTTTTGAAATGTTTGCTATAAGTGGCATTTGTATCAGTTGACATACAGTATATCCAGGAATTTTTTTAAAAAATACAAATCTTTTATTTAAATAAAATTTCTTCCATCATCTCATATTTGGTATCCATACAGTTTTACATTTATACATCTCAATGTATTTAAAAATGACATTGCCTTATTCCGAGAAATTTATTTTGGAGGAACTCAAAAGCTATAGAATAACTTGACTCTATCAGACTCTATTATGTACTTTTTACTGGAACATGCTGAACATACATAAGGAATACATTGGAGGAAGATTATGATGTTTCTAACCTATTGTATGCTGCTTTGAGTCATTTCAATTAAATGATGCAATAAATGGAATATATTAGTTAATTAATATACATGGTAGCATCTTCTGGAACCCATCTCAAAACCATCTCTGGTTCCTATGAGACCAACAGGCAGTTGTTCCATACAAAACATTTTAATAGAGGTTCTAAGTGGCCTGATGGGCTATATTTTATTATTGTATACACAATAATGTGAAATCACAGCTGCCAATTCTTTAGCTGGTGTTGGCCTTCAGACACATCAAGTTTTTTCCCAGGAACCCAGGAAGTGCAAATGTATTGGCATAATATAATTGCAGATCCAAGCAGTGTGGTCTTTTATAATTGACAGATGAAAATTTTATTATTGTTTTCTGATCACAACAATGTGAAGTCACAGCTGCCAATTCTTTAGCTGGATTTGGCCTTCATAAACATTAAATTATTCCAAGAACCTAGGACCTCATAATGTATCTGCTTGATATATGTGTGAACACAAGCAATGTGGCCTTTTACAATTGATAAATGAAAATTGTGTCAATGCACAGATTTTCTAAGTGCTGTCCAATATTTTTTTGCTATGGCACCCAGTGTTGATAACCACTGGGCAGGTTTAGGCCATAATTTTTCAATTTCAGTGTTCAGCTTTAAAACTTTGAGATCTTTGTATCTTTGTGATACTATGTGATCTTCTTCAATGTTGTGTTTTCTATACTATTGAATACAGCTGGTATTCAAACATCAATTAACCACACTTTCTCCTTTTCAACCACAATTACATTTGGTTTGTTATGTTTATTATGATTATTATTTTGTTTGCTTTTAGAAATATATAATCTTTATAATAAATATAGATGATAGCAGCCAAATAAAACACCTATAATCTTTAAGGTAATATTTTATTTGTATAAAGAACATGAAATATGAGTGATATAGTGCTGCAATATCTTATTTACATTTTTTCTAGGGGAGCCCTGTGTGTCATTCTGAATTGCAAGAAGATTTTAATGGGCAATAATAAAGTAATAAAAAAACTGAGGAAGCAATCTTGAGATCATTAATTGTTGAAGAAATGTAGCCTAACCACTGGATCTTCCACAGCATTGCTTCTAAATCTAATGATCTTCAAAAAAAAGTATGACTGTAAGCCTCTGCTTTCTTCTAAGCTCCTAAAACAGGCATAAAGATTTAAAACATTCAGGAAAAAACAGACTTAGTTCTATAAGCTTTAGATAGGGAAGTTTGATATTGTAAGAGAGCAAAAGCACACAAAGCATTCACAGAAAGGGACACTAAAGGAAAATCTCACATGAAGCACATTTGTAGTCTATGTTCTAGAAGGTCTATTGAACTAAAAATGTTATATACAAAAAAGTATAATGTCATTATATAATTGCAATTATTGCATTATTATATTTGTGTTATTTTGATATATACATATTATATCCATGAGAAAGACACCATTGCTAGTAACTTCTTATAGAAAGTCCATAAAAGCTAAGATGCCCATCAAGATTTGTTTGCTTGTCAAATTTTGAAATCGCCTATTTCTCTCACAGAAAGACTTCTTATTTCCTAGAAAATGCAAGGTGTGCATAGTACAGAGGTTGCTTCCTCAGCAGTAAAGTTTTAAAATAGTTTTTTGTTCTAACCTACACAGAAAACTTGCTGAAGTATCTAACATTAAATTATATTGGATAAAGATCAATTTAATTTAAGAAGTCGTGAGGTAAAGCTAAACATGTTGACAATAGCAGGATCTGTAGATATTCTCTTAGAAATCAGGTGAATTCCTGCTTGTATAGGCCAACTAAAAGTTTATAAATCTTGTACAGGAGGAGCTTGGAGCAAATTAACCATTGACATTTAGTCTGAATCGTGCATGGTGATGGGTGTCCACATTTGATGAAACGAGGGGCTAGGGGAAATTGTGAAAGTTCAGTGGGTGCTGGAAGATTCATGTTGTTTTAAGAAAACCTTAAGATGATATATTTTTCTGTATTTGGCAAGTTGTAAAGTCGTACTTCTTATAAGTTGCCCTATATTTTAATTGGCCCATAACAATTTGTTTTACTCTAATTGTATTTGCGCCATTTCATACAGAGGGAAAGTGTATCATGTGTTCCCCAAATTTTATGCACTCCACATTCAGTTGTCCTGATCAGGTAAAATTATATATTTTACACTCCAAATTCCTCTTCTAAGTAAATATGTTCATATTGCAACTGTGAGACAACCTAGAAATTAATATAAAACTAGAGATAGAAGTGGCTAATACAAAGGAAAAGCTATGCCGTGCACACTACACACTCAGATTTCAGCAGTAGTGCTGTAACATACCTGAAATACCACAGCAGGATCAATATATAAAGATGGTTGTGTCTGCAAGAAGCAAGGGGTAAACCAAAAAACAATTCATTCACTTAAGAATTTTGGATATGCTTACTTCCTGTCCTGCAATATGAAACCCAGTTTTTATATCGCTATTTATTTTATTTATTGCACCTACATTAGAAGGGTGTATAATAAGTTCTTAAAATGAGACTACAAAGTTTCCCTGACTATGTAAACAGCGTACAATTCTTACCTTACCTTATCTCCTCTCTACTTGGGCCTCAAAGAGGCACCAAAATGAAAATGAAGTGTTTGATAACAATGCAACATTTCCT